CCCAGGCGGGTCTCAAACCTGCGGGCTCAGGCAATCCACTCACCTCAGCCTCCCAAAGGCGCGGGATTACAGGTTGAGCTACCGAGCCCGGCTAAGAATAACATTTAAAAAAAAGAAAACAAATAGAAAGATGGCAGAAGTTCTTCATCATTAGTAAATAGCTTATTATTTTTATTGTTGCTGTTTTTGTTTTGAGACAGACTCTCACTCTGTTGCCCAGGCTAGAGTGCAGTGGGGTGATCATAGCTCACTGCAGCCATACAGTCCTAGACTCAAGTGATTCTCCTACCTCAGTCTCCCAAAGTACTGGCAGACTTTCCAGCAAGATGGTGACAGGGCAGCCTAGTCTATGAAATCCTCTGCAAAGGAGAACGCAGAGGGTCTCTGGCTCTCTCCCGGGGGGCTGCGGACCCCAACGTCAGCAGCCTGCTCTTCACACAGAGCTTGGCTGACCATCGCCACCGCTGGGGCATCACAGTGGTCTGGACAGCCACTGCAGCTGCAGACACAGCAGCGGCAGACACAGCAGCGGCAGGCACCGCCAGCCTTCATGGCCGCCATAGCGCATCGCGCCACCCGTGCCTGAGGCGATCCACAACTTCAGTCCTTGAAGCCCCTGCAGCCAAGATCTGCTGGGATCTGCCACCTCTGCTGCCACCTTGCCGTCCTGCCAGCCGTGGGTCTACTCCCGTGTTCCCTGTGGCAGGCTCCCATCTCCGGCCTCTGTCAAGCTCCACCCCCTCTGGGGCGAGCAGTTGAGATAGCACCACCTGCTGGCGATTCAAGGTAACAACATCGAGAGGGGAGAAACAAGCTTGAAAAACAGACACAGGCCAGATTTGAGTGGTGAACTGAGGGTGATCTGAACTGTCCTTCACAGCAGGCCAGGGGGAACTGACCCTAACTGCAAACTAATTTACCAGCTTGAAAAGACAGCTAGAAATCAGAGCTGACAGGACACTGCACTTAAACGAAAAGTCTCAGAGTGTACTCGATTGGTTCTATTAGTTTAATGACTTAATTCTATTCCTACTGTTTTGTTCCTTTTTTTTTCTTTTCCTCTTCCTTTTCTTCTCTTTTCTCCTCTCTGTAAACCATATCTTTGTATAGAGGAACAGCACACCAATAAGGTGGTTGGTTAGCTTGTATGTTAGCATCATTTTATGTTTTATTTTTTTTTTTGTATGGCAGTTGGTTAGTCTGTAGCCGTGGTCTATTGTTTTTATCTGTTTCAGTTTAGGTCTCTCTCTCCATTTGTCCGTACACTCATCTGTTTCCCCTCTTACTCCTCTCTCTCTCCACCCCCCTCTTTCCCCCACTGTCTGCTCCATTCTCTTCCCTCTGCTAACCACATTTTATTTCAGGGAGTAAACCTACAGCCCCACTGCATGGACAGATTCCAAGGCAGTGGGAAGTGGGTTTCAGATTATCCATACACCTGTTGGCGAATACCAGGACCTGCAGATAGATTTTGAATCACAGCTCCCCCCTTAAGTAAATCTCAAAACTGCAAAAAGAACCACCCCAAACCTACAGTGCAACTCCAGAACTGAACAAGGTAAGAGGGCATACATAAAGAATAGGAGATTGAACAAACAGAAGTAAAACAAATCCCTCTACTCCTGAATAACAGAATTAAAGAAGACGGTGATGTAGACGGAAGAAAAAAGTAGGGAGGGGGAAAAAAACCACACAAATGAAGAAAAACCAAAAGAAGAATATAGGTCTCACACAGACCCCTGGGAGATCAGACACTGAGAAAACAGATTCTGGAACACAAACAATGAAGAGCCTCCAGAATGATTGGTCACATGCAACAAACTGAGACATCAAGACATTAATAGAGAGAATTAAAAATATTGAGGAGAGACAAGAGGAAAATAGGAAGGAGTTGATGTCAGAAATAACAGCAGTAATGAATACTGTGATGGAAATAAATAACAAACTAATAAGCATGGAAAGCAGAATTAGCCAAGCAGAAGAAAGAATCTCAGAGCTCGAAGACCAAAACACAGAACTAACCCAAACTGTCAAAAAACATAGAAAAGAAGCTCAAAAAGACAGAACAAAACCTGCAAGAGATGAATGATCACTTCAAGAGACTGAACCTAAGAGTAATTGGCCTTCCTGAGGCAGAGAGAGAAACAGAGGCCACATTGGAACAAACATTTCATGAAATCATTGAAGAAAACTTCCCTCATCTCATCAAGGATGACAAAATTCAAACACAAAAGATTCACAGAACCCACGCAAGACAACAAATGAGAAGACCAACTCCCAGACATATAATAATTCGCCTAAACAAAGTAGGTATAAAAGAAAAAATCCTAAAGGCTGCAAGAGAAAAAGGTCAGACTACGTACCAGGGAAGACCAATTAGAATAGCAGCAGATTTATCTACAGAAACCCTCCAGGTTAGGAGAGCTTGGAGCCCTATCTTCAAAGTTCTAAAAGATAAACAATTTCAACTGAGAATAACCTACCCAGTCAAGCTAAGCTTCATCAGTGAGGGAGAATTGAAATCTATCCCAGATATCCAATCCCTAAGAATCTACGCTGCCACAAGACCACCTCTACAAGAAACACCTAAGAAAGTATTGAACACAGAAGAAAAGGAAAAAAGAACAACAATGTTCTTCATAAGAGTACAGGCAAAAGATTAAAAACACACACGATTCAACTCTAAAACCAAAAGAAAGACAACACACAAACAGGAAAAACAACAACTCTGTAAGAACATTACAATAGGGATCAACTCTTACATTTCAATAATTAATTTGAATGTGAATGGACTAAATGCAACACTGAAAAGACACAGAATGGCAAAATGGATAAAATATTACCAGGCAACAATCTATTGCCTTCAAGAGACTCACCTCACTAGAAAGGACACTCACAGACTCAAAGTAAGAGGATGGGAAACAAATTTTCAGGCGAATGGAACACAAAAGAAAGGCAGAGTCGCAATCTTAATCTCAGACAAAATACCCTTTAAGCTATCAAAAATTTAAAAAGATACAGACGGCCACTACATAATGATAAAAGGTTCAATTCATCAACAAGAAATATCCATCCTAAACATATATGCACCAAACATAGAAGCACCAACTTTTATAAAGCAGCTCCTAGGTAAACTAAAAAAAAGATATCGATTCCAATGCCATCATAGCTGGGGATTTTAATACCCCACTCACAACCCTAGACAGATCATCAGGACAAAAAATCAGCAATGAGATCCGAAACCTCAATGTGACTCTTGATCAAATGGACTTAATTGATACCTACAGAACCCTCCATCCAAAGACCACAGAATACACATTCTACTCATCACCACATGGAACGTACTCTAAGATCGACCACATATTGGCCATAAATCAAGCATAAGCAAATTTAAAAGGACTGAAATTATACCAAGCACCTTCTCGGACCACAGTGGAATAAAAATAATCATTAACACCAACAAGGTCCCCCCAAAACCCACAAAGACATGGACACTAAACAGCATGATGCTAAACAACTCCTGGGTCAATGAGGAAATCAAAACAGAGATTAAAAAATACCTGGAAAAAAATGAAAATGAAGAAACATCTTACCAAAATCTCTGGGATGCCATGAAAGCTATAGTAAGAGGGGAGTTTATATCCCTACAAACGCACATGAAGAAAACGGAAGGATCACAAATTAACAGCCTAAGAAGCCACTTAAAAAAGCTGGAAAAACAAGACCACAAAATTAATTTCAGCAGAAGAATCCAGATCACCAAAATAAAAGCCCAAATCCAGGACATAGAAGACAGAAGGATAATACAAAAAAATCAATGAAACAAAAAGCTGATTCTTCAAAAGGATAAATAAGATCAATGGTTCCCTAGCTAGACTGACCAAGAAAAAGAGAGAAAAAGCCCAAATAAACACAATCAGAAACACAAAAGATGAAGTCACATCTGACCCTGAAGAAATACAAAAGATCGTTAGAGACTACTATGTGCACTTTTAGAAACAAACTTGAAAACCTTAAGGAAATGGAGGACTTTCTGTCATCACACAACCTGCCTAGGTTGAAACAAGAAGAAATTGAGACCCTAAATAGACCAATAACAATTAAGGAAATTGACTACATAATAAGAAAACTACCTACAAAAAAAGCCCTGGACCAGATGGCTTTCCAGCAGAATTCTACAAGACATTTAAGGAGGAGCTTATACCAATCCTACTGAAGGTATTCCAGGTGATTGAGAAAAATGGAACTCTCCCCAAATCATTTTGCGAAGCTAACATCACATTGATACCCAAGCCAGGTAAAGACCCAACAAAGAAACAGAACTATAGGCCAATATCTTTGATGAACATAGATGCTAAAATTCTCAACAAGAACCTAGCGAACCAGATTCAACAACACATTTCAAAAATCATCCATCATGACCAAGTGGGCTTCATCCTTGGAATGCAAGGCTAGTTCAACATTCGTAACACCATAAATATAATTAAATACATCAACAGATGTCAAAACAAAAACCACATGATTACATCATTAGATGCAGAAAAAGCTTTTGATAAAATCCAGCATCCCTTCTTGATAAAAACCCTCAAATATCTAGGCATATGGGGAATATACCTCAAAATAGTAAAAGCCATCTACAAGAAACCCACAGCCAGCATACTCCTAAACGGACAAAAATTGGAACCATTTCCCCTGAAAACTGGAACAAGACAAGGATGCCCACTCTCACCTGTCCTGTTCAATATAGTATTGGAAGTACTGGCTAGAGCAATCAGAGAAGAGAAGGCAATCAGGGGTATTCAAATAGGAAAAGAGGAAGTCAAGCTATCTCTCTTTGTAGATGACATGATCGTGTACCTTGAAAACCCAAGAGAATCTGTCAAAAACCTCCTTACACTGATAAAGGACTTTGGCAAAGTCTCAGGATATAAAATAAATGTGCAAAAGACAATCGCATTTCTTTACACCAATAATAAACAAACGGAAACCCAAATAAAAACCACGATTTCATTCACAATAGCCACAAAAAAAAAAATGAAATACCTTGGCATCTTCCTAACCAGAAACGTGAAAGACCTTGACAATGAAAACTACAAAACACTGCTCAAAGAAATCAAAGATGACACAAACAAGTGGAAAAATATCCCATGCTCATGGTCTGGAAGAATCAACATTGTGAAGATATCCATCTTACCTAAGGCAATCTACAGATTTAATGCAATACCCATCAAATTACCAGCAACATTCTTCTCAAACAACACAGGAATTCATATGGGAACACAAACGACCAAGAATAGCCAGAACAATCCTCAGCAAAAAAAACAAAGCAGGTGGTATCACATTACCAGACTTCAAACTTTACTATAAAGGTACAATAATCAAAACAGCTTGGTATTGGTATAGGAACAGGCATATAGACCAATGGAATAGAATTGAGATTCCAGAAGCAAAACCTCAATTTCTCAACCAACTCATCTTCGACAAAGCCTCTACCACCTACCACTGGGGAGAGGAGAACCTATTCAGTAAATGGTGCTGGGAAAACTGGCTGACCACATGCA